CATATTTAATCACTCTAGTTAGTTGCTTGGATTGGTAAATTATTCTTGCAAAGCGAAACTGCCCAACAAAAGCACTATCAAAGCGCAACCCGAGCTTGCAAGTGTTTAGTGCCCTGTGCTATCGTATCCTCCCTCCCTACCAAATTGTGATAAATGTTTTGGCAGTCAAACAAGATTCATTGAATTATATACCAAACTCTGCTTAAAAACTCTGAAGGGAAGGATTTTCTTATCATTCGGTACACAAAGGAGAATCTGTCCTGTCTAAAAGGTTAAACCCATGGCTGCAAAGATTGTTCTCTTGATTATTGCTTCATTTCTTTATTTACTTTTTAGATTCATTCTGGTGGAGATGATCCTACAATACAATTGAAGTCTTATAAGACTTCAATACAAGAAAATGACTCAGATAATCGAATTGAATTGCTTTCACTAAATTCTTTGCTTAGTAAATGCATTTTTAATTGTTATTCGCATTTCTTGTTCGATTTATTCATGCAATGACAGACAAGATTCAGAATCAGATATTATAGAAATTGTAGAAAAAATAAAACCAAGAAAAATCAATTCGTTTATAACAACATTCCTGATACATTGACATGGACTCAATAATAGAAATCTTGACACGACAAGAATACACGGCTAGATGACAGAAAAGAAAGAATTCCAGCTTACAGAAAGAATTAAAGAATGAACGTTAATGTAAAAATCTGGAAATCGCCCTGATAACAGAAGCTAAAAGAAACACGTATACTGACATATCTGTTCATGAAAATGGTTCTTCTCCTACCTGACAACGAAGTTTATTTGCAGTAAAGAATGAATAAATGATGACAAATTTCTCTACCTACAAAGAATTGATACTCCTTTCTGTATATTGTATGCGTTTGAGATGTGGCTGATTCAAGTTGGCTGAGAATAAGAGGATGAACTGCCTGCAATATCGGCCGGTGCCCATGCTGAGACTGTGTAAAGAGGCTGATCCAACCAACTCAGTGTAAGTGCATTTCCATCTTGTCCCTGCTTCTCCACCTTATAGTTATCACAAGAATACATTTTCAGCAGCATTTGTCCCTGAAGCAATTCCCTCTCGTTAATTCCCGAGCACTGGAAACCCCCTTGCTCCATCAACTGTCGCCACTTCCCGAATTTTTCATGTCTTTCAACCCTGTCCCGTCCTTCACAAGCAATGATATTCCTGATTTCACGAGCAAACATTTCTTCTATCTTGATCCTGAGTGGACTATCTGCCGGAAGGATTGAATCTAACGAGTCGAAAATAGCTGAATAGAACTTCAAAGAATTCGAAAACCTTCTTTCCAACAATGTCTCGTTGTGCTCCGCTTCTTGCTCTGACATGACAACCACTAAGGGGTTCGTACTTCGAATTAGACCTAAAAAGTCTCTCAATGTTCTTCCGGTACTATCATAGAGCAACTTGTGTATCTGAAATACACAATTGACAGCCACAGTTTCACTCTCCTTAACATGAAGCATCCACAACCTCACATCTTCCAACCTGTCAACTACGGGGTGGAATTCGAAAGCTAGATTCAATGCCGCAGCAAATCCGGCAAGTCTATTGCCCGTTTCAATCAACTCCTGTTTTGATTCACCAACACCGGTAATTCTTACATGGCTAGGAGGATTAGTCTTAGAAGCCAAGCTCTGAAACAGACTAGGCCACTGCAGCCCTTGTTTTATGTCAAAATCTATGATGTGAACGTGGTCTTTTCCTTCAAAAGCCCTCAGTAAAATTTCATTTGAGGTGAAATGTATGAACTTTGGAAATGGGCTTACCTCATTTAAAATCCTTAACGCAGTGCCACTCGTATCATCCACCTGATCAAACTCCCGAGGAATGGTAACGTGAAAGATATGAGGCCATAACCTTGCAGCTCGCAGAGCTAACGCCTCAGTGAAGTACGCCGCGAGGCGACGAATAGGGGAGCCCCTCGGTGAAGCAAGTTCTCCAAGTCTAGCTATAAAATGGTTGATATTGGCAATGTTCTTTAAACGAATTGCTTCAACACAAGCCACAAGGAAGTTGACAAGCTCAATATCGTCACGTTCCCTGTGGTTGTTTTCACCGTTCTGCCCTGCTACAATCTCAACCCTGTCCCTTGGATTAGGTGGCCTCGAACCATTTCCTGTTTCATGCTCCCCAGGATTCTCATTCAGCCTAAGAACCAAGCGACCACTCTCTGATGAAGTACTCGAAGATCGTGAGCCCTCTTGTGCGGGACCCTGGCTTGTTTCTGCGTTCTTGTCACCTAAGTACGTTATCTTGTTCCCAATAGGTTCCAACCACGGGCTATTTGACAAAGGTGGTAATTGCGGAGCTATCACGTTGCTTGGCACAAAGCACACTCTTTCTTCCTCTCCGGAACATGAAAGAGAGAAAGGCACTTGAGGTGGATTAAGCCCTGCAAGTGGAACAGACCGCTGCACATCAAAGCCAGGGTGAAACCATAAATTCCCCCCACCCAAATGGCCTAAACTCAAGTTTCCACCTTCTTCTTCACAATCCTCAGATTTTCCACTACTACCCCTTTTCCTCTTTACTCTATTCATCCCAAACTGCTCATCATAAGACCCTTCCTCTGCATACCTCTTCCTTTTACTCTTCTCCCAAAATTCATCATTGCTTTCTCTCCTACCCTCTGTGGTTGACGAAGGTGGGAGTTTGATATTCTGCCTAAGAGAACAATTAGTCGTCTTTGCTTCAATAGGCTTCTCAATGGAGAGGCCTACTGGCCTAACCGATTGAGATGACCTCGGGGCATCTTTTCGACCAAAACTACATGGCAAATCCAATCTTTGGGTGCTCATTGAAGGGAGATGGCAAACTTGAAACTGTCCAGATGTTTCACTTCTCAATCTATGCCTTGGCGACAACAATGTAGAAGAACACCCAGCCAACATTATTTAGACCCTCACCAATTTTTTCCTTTCTTTTCTATAACCCCAAGTCTCCCAGTCCTTCTACTTTCTTCTCTCTCAGTGTGTGTATATGTTTTCTTTACTTCCCAAGTTATGCAATATATAAATATTTTATATAAATTGATATGAAATTGCTGTAGAATATGCCTCTATGTGAGTGAACGAAATTTCAATAAATCAAGAAACCAGAAACAAAATGGGAATCCGATGTCAAAACAAATTAAAGAATAACGCTTGAAAATCTTCTCTATTTGTGTATATAACTGTATGTCCTATATGATGATGATATGTATATATAGCAGCAATATATGTGCAACAAAGAATAGAATCAGCATAACAAACACCAACAAAAAATCAAAGAATTTGATAACAAATTATCAAGCACCTATCGAAAAATGACCATCGGATTCCTCAGTTTTCACGCAGAATTCACACTGAAGCAAAGTGAAATTCGAGCTGAATGGAATTTATTAAACTTCTGCATATGCATCTTTGCTCAAAATTGTATCTGAAAGAAGAACAGTGGAAGTGAGTGACCAGATCAATCCCCTTACCCCACCCTACCCCCACCTCACCCCACCCTAAACCCAGTATTCTTTTCCTTCAAATTCCCTTCCAAATCCCGTCAAACAAGCGCGAAAAGGAAAATCACATACTATGAGAGTCACTTCTCAAGAACCCTACTAACCAAAAAGCCATCCACCATAAACAACTGAGCTTTTATACAATATAAACTGAATTTGATGATGATTTTGTCCCAAGAACCAGAAAAATCAAAAGAAAAGCGTGTTTAGAGAATCTCAGTTTGCGGCTGTTGGATGAGAAACAAGGGGTGGAGATTGCAGGAAAATACGACCGTTGGAGGCTTGTAGGTGAAAATATGACCGTTAAGGAGTTTGGTGTAGTTGTACGGACATGGAGACATGGAGAGTGGGGGTCTGATGAATACACGTGTGTGTTTTTGCTACCCGTTGCACTTTTGGCGACATGACCGTTGGGTTTACGTCATCATTTTGTCGATAAATGTCATGGAAATTTACACGGCCTGTTAATATCATTATTTACGTCGTCATTTCGTCTTAATCTTCTGTGTCAAGTCATCATGTTCATGTTCCTCCAAATTAGGATTGATATAGGAAATCTTCAGTTTAAAAATCTTAATTTCAAGATGTAATACAAGAGATCTAAGTTCTATTTCGCTCAACATTTGGTGAATAGTCAAGTAAAGATTAATTGTGCTACAACATTGAGAAGACTTGGGCAATCGACCACCAGATTGTTCTTTTCTTCACGTCTCAATTTTCCTCAAATTTCGACTCTTCGTTTTTAAGGGGTCCTTTCTAATTGAACTTAGAATAGAAATTTAAAGAAATTTTGAATGTCTAATTTATGAAATAGCAGCATCGACTATAATTGAAGTAATTTTCAATTCTTTATTCAAATGAAGATTGCGTGTTGTAACGTTCAAGATTTATACGTGAAATAATAACTTGGAACTTACTTTTTTTAAAGTATTTTTTCATTTGAAAGTTGAGATCACCACATTGTTGTTTTGACATTGTCTAATTTTGCCTCTAATCTTTTATCTAGCTTCTTCTTTATAGGGCTCCATCTTTAACTGAACTTCGAATGACTTTTATCTTAACAAAAATTTCAAATGTCTAAACTTTCATTATTTTATTCAACCAGAATGTACTTTTACGTACAGAAGGCATCTTACTGGCCCCCTACTAATCTTGGAGTACAGAAGTATGGAGAGCAAATAGACCGCATTCTCATCAAATAAAGTTTGGCAAAGCATTAAGTGGTTATAGGTTTATCAAACCTAATTTTTAATCAACCATTTTTTAGAATCCAAACTTTTATCTACTAGTTAATTTTATATTTTTTGAAACCCACTGCTGATGAGCACTTAAAATCTTAATCAAGCACACAAAAAAACGTGATTTTGCCGATTAAAGGTCGACTAGATGGTATTTTTACAATGAATTAAGGTACTTGTACATAAATGCTTTGACAGATACTGAGGTGGCACGATATTCAAATCAAGGGTCAAAACACATATCATGTAAAAGAATTTATAAAGAAAACTATATAAGTAGCTTGAATGTTCAACGATTATGGGTATTTTTGGACATTTCAAGATTTTTGTACATATTCAATTTACGAAGGTGGCACAGAACCCATAGTTGGTGCGATAAATATTGAGAGACGCCCACTTTATGATCGACGTATGTAGGTAAGTAGATAGGTGTGTGTACATACTTTTGGGGGTTTGGGGCGGGGCGGGGGGGGGGGGGGTTTGCCTC